CTTTCCCTGTCAAATATTGCTAGTTATATATCAATAAATTTCTTGACATTTTAAATAAGCATTTATTTTAAAATCCACTTAGAATTGAATCTTAAAATCATTTTCTTTACCGTTCAGTTAATCACAGAATCTTTATGATTTAGCTTAAATTTATATTCTAATACATTTTGATTTTCATCCTCACTCCCTTCTACATTAATGTGACATTCAAAGGTTAAATACTGCTCAAATACAAAAATACTTAATTCCCGTTGTATAGTACTAGAAGTTAAAAAAGAAACCTGCTGCTATATACAGATAAGGTATATTTAAAGATATATGTGATAAAGGTAATTGAGAAATGCTTATGAGGCACTTAATAACTTTAACTGTATGTAATTAGATGACTATAAAAAAGTATAGACAAGAATTAAAAACTGGGTTGTAAAATCAGGATTATGAAAACATCCCATTGTCATAGAGGGGTGGAAAATGACAACCAAAGTAATTTTCTTCACTGAACATGTTTCTTCTTTCATGTGCCTTCTGGTCAGTTACTGAGGAGTAGATGTACCACTTGCAAGAAACGTTTTCACACACAAAAAATCCTTAGGAAAAAGCTAACATAACCAAGTAGATCAAATTTGGCATAAACTTGAGACTGTACTGCTCAAACAAAACCTAGATTTTATAGTTCTACTAGTAAAACTAACATGAAACAATTCATTTACTAAAAAAGAACTAGTGGGAAACACATGGACCACCTGATCACACTTAAAATTACATAAACACTTTCTAAAAGTTAGTCAAGATACAAAAATGAAAGGCTTTTTTTCCCCTAAAGGAATACTAATTTAAGGATTAACATAAAGCCAAACACCCCAATATACTAAAATCACAGAAACATATTTTAAAATTTTTCACAAAATTGGATAGACATGCTTCTTTACCTTCTTCTCATATTTAATTCTTATTTTCACTTGAAAATCATTTGCTTTGTTACAACATCCTCTAGCACTTAACTTTTTCCAGCACATCCTCTAGCACATCCTCTAGCACTTAACTTTTTTTCAGCCCAAAGCAAAGGATAAGTACCACCATAAGTACACTAGAGACAAAAAGGTTTACTATCATTCCAACAAGGATCACTAAAATAAAGTTTTAGTTAAGAATTCTTATATAGTGTTAGCAAAAGTATGCATAAACACAAAATGCAACTAAAATGCTAACTAAATGCTAACATTTAATAAAACTTTTCATTTATGTATTAAAGTCTTACAAAGCAATGAAAAAGATTTTAAGTACTAAAATACAGTGTTTTCAATAAATTTCTGTACTATAATTCATCTCTTAAAGAAATGTTCTTCATTATATAATTCTGAAAGCAGAGTATCAAAAAAGGGGGTTGCTGGGCTTCCCTGGTGGCACAGTGGTTGAAAGCCCACCTGCCGATGCAGGGGACACGGGTTTGTGCCCCGGTCCTGGAGGATCCCACATGCCTCGGAGCGGCTGGGCCCGTGAGCCATGGCCGCTGAGCCTGCGCGTCCGGAGCCTGTGCTCCGCAACGGGAGAGGCCACAACAGTGAGAGGCCCGCGTACCGCGAAAAAAAAAAAAAAAAGGGGGGGGGTTGCTGATGATATACTACTCCCTAGAATAGAATAACTCTATAACTTTTCCCTCTATAAAAGCTGGCAACCTAGATAATCTCAACCGCAAGGGAAGTAGGCTTGCACATCTCAAACCTACCAACTATAATGAGAAAACTTCTGTCAATCTTCTTGGATCTCAGAGAAATTAAATTAAATATATTTATAAAAATTGATAACTAAAAGCTAGAAGGTGAGAGTCCTCTTAGTCACCAAAGAGAAAGGAAAAGAAAAGCCGATTAGAAAGGGTTAATACTCCTTCCCTCTCCCCACCCCGGCCCTCCCCCTTTTAGACTTTTGAAATGATATATTCACAGTTTGGGATATCCTTATCCAGCAGTAGGATAGGCATATACACTACATGCCAAATTGTTAAATGCTGTAAATCCTTAGAGATCCACCAACACTTGTGCTGTCATAGCACCCCAAATTAGCTTGAACAGTAAAAAGTCCATTTTTTTTCTTTTACTTTCAGCCTACCTGTGATTTTATATTGAATGTGACTCTACTATACAGCATACAGTTGGATCTTACATTCCTAGCAAATCTGTCGATCTCCGTTTTTTAATTTAAGTGTTAGTTCACTTATATTTACTATAGTTTTGATATGGGTGAATTTAGGTCTACCATTTCCCATATATTTTCTTTGTTCTGTGTTTCTTGTTTCTCCTTTTGTTGTTTCTTTTGGATTAATTAAATATTTTTTACTATTTTAATTTCTCTACTGGCCTTAAGAAAAAACAAAACACCTTTTTATTGTGGAATAATTTTCAACCTACAGAAAAGTTGCAAAAATAGTACAAAGTTACCATAATATCTTTCACCCAGCTTCTCTTAATGTTAGCATAACTATAGTACAATTATCAAAACTAAGAAATTAACATTGGTATAATACTATCAACTAAAATATTGACTTTATTCCGATTTCTCCAGTTTTTCTATTAATGTCCTTTTCTGTCCTAGGATACAATCCAGGGTACCATGTTGTATTTTGTTGTTATGTTTCCTTAGTTTCCCCTAAACTACGACAAATTCCTCAGTCTTTCCTTGTCTTTCATAATCTTGACACTTAAAAAATTTTTTTCAGCTTTACTGAGGTACAATTGACAATATTATAAGACATTGAAAGTGTATACTGTGTTGATTTGACATACATTGTGAAAGGATTCCCCCCACCTAGTTAAATATGACCTTGACACTTCTGAACAATACTGCTAAGTTACTTTGTAGAATGTCCCTCAATTTGAGTTTGTCTGATGTTTTCTCATAACTGGATTGAGGTTATGCATTTTTTGACCAGAGCAGGTGTAGAACTACCCATTTAGTTCAACCATTATTTTTACTGATTACTGCTTGCATAGATGAATTATAAAATGAGGGAAATACTACTTTAGTACTTTTAAGTATTTACAAAATTACTTATTTGAAGGCCTGGTTTTATTTGTATGATTCATCCCCAGTGAACTTCTAGCTTTCATTTGTTAGGCTGCTAGATAAACATTTCCTAGCCTAGGAGGTGGGGTGGGAAGAGAATCATTTTTAATTTTAATTCTCAGAGAAAATGAAATCTAAATCACAAAATATGATTATACTTTGGGGGTTTATCTTTCTTTGAATGATAAAAAAGTTATGCTAAACTTCAATTGACCATTCATTCCTTCATTCATTTATGGCTATGTTGGGTCTTCATTGCTGCACGCGGCTTTCTCTAGTTCCGGTGAGAGGGGGCTACTCTTCATTGCAGCGCGCGGGCTTCTCATTGCGGTGGCTTCTCTTGCTGTAGAGCACGGGCTCTAGGTGCGCTGGCTTCAGTAGTTGTGGCTCACGGGCTCTAGAGCACAGGCTCAGTAGTTGTGGCACACAGGCTTATCCGCTCCGCGGCATGTGGGATCATCCCGGACCAGGGCTCAAACCCGTGTCCCCTGCATTGGCACGTGGATTCCCAACCACTGTGCCACCAAGGAAGCCCCAATAGATCTTTTTAATTCAATGCTTACTTTGAGATTAGTAGGATAATTAATAAGGAGAGAATAATAAATATATTCAGTGTATTTGTGGCAATAACTACCCTAACCAAGACATAGATAAGGGCAGAAGAAAAAGGAATTAGCATTTTATTTCTTTAGTATTTTATTTTATTTCATTAGTATTTTATGTCCTTCAAGGCAAGAACTCTGTTAAGTTTCTTAGGAATTCCCCAGAGCACTTAAAAAGAGTTCTTGAATATAGTACTTTAAAATTATTTTAAATTATTAAATACGGGATCGTACTCTATTGTATACTCTACAATACAATAATTGTATTGTACAATTTGTACAATTTTGTACAATTGTACAAAAAATATTGTACAATTTATTGTACAATAAATACTCTATTGTACACCCCTTTTCAGTATGTTTAACATGCACTGTCTACTTTGTTACCTTGTACTTACTCTTTGTAACTCTCTTCTGCAGGCTTTGTCATCCCCAAAGGTTTAAAACTCCCTGAGAGCCAAAACCCTGTCTGTTTCTTTCACAAAAGTAACTGGCACAGTACAATCTGCACAAGGAATATTCAAAATCTTCTAACAATATGAAGAGTCAAGGCTTTATCCTATGTACATGAGAAAATTTAGGTGGAAAAGCTATTTTCCCCCCTCAGATTAATAAAATATGAAACTTCAGAAGCTTGGAGGTAAGAAGCAAAATAATCAAAAAATTATAATACTTTTTATCTTTGTATTATACATTTGAGTTATTTTTCCAACAACAGTAGCTTTTTGGGCAGCAGATGTTCTTTCATTAAGACCAGTGATAATTTTCAAATGTACTACAGAATTTCCCATAATCTTCAAAGTCAAAAGTCACATTTTAACACATGAATGTATGCTTTACATAATACTAAATAATAAATAAAATGGCTGGAAATTCATGACAACAGTATGTATACTGAATTGAATTTATAACCTTTGTTGATAACAAAACATGCTGATGTTTTATGTCACAGTATATTTAAAAAATCAATTTTTCTTCCAATGAACCTCAAAAGATCATCATTTTGAAAGATTACAATACAAAAGTGTTCTAACAGGTTAACAATTTTCTGTTATTACTAATTAGAATTTTACCACTCAATGTGTATCTTTAAAGCTAGCAAAAAATACTACTATATGTAATATCCTAGACTGATACTCAAGAATTGACACAGACTCAAAGATATACTGAAAAATATACTCATACAAACTATGTTCTTTTATCAGACTTATTTAAGTGACTGTATCATAAAATTAGGGCACTTTGAAGAAATCTGAAGTATGCTGCTCCATTTAACATTTCAGATTCCAAGTAGATGGGATCTAGAGATGAAACAGAGCTGATGACTAACTTCCACAGGGAGAATTAGCAAGTGGAAAAGAAATGCTTTGAACACAGTATGAGAAAGGGGACAATATACTTATATTTTTATTTTTCATACTCATCCTTTTCCTCCTCCAAGCTCTTGGTTTTTTTCCATGCATTAATAGTAAAGAATTTGGGTGGATAAACTGGGTTTGTTAAGGTGAACTGCCATTTTTGAGGCAAGACTTAAGGAGAATTAATAGAAAGGAAAAAATCCAGAACTCAGCCTTTCCCAATAGGAATGAAATTTTGAAAAGAGTTGTCTTTCAAATACTATGAAGTAGGCTTTTGTGATTATTTTGATAGTCGTGATGAGAGGTTCCAAAATATTTCAGTCACTAATAAAAAATCAGAGATATACAAAATTTGCTATCTGTGCTTTAACCAGAGTATTGTCTTTATGGCAATCTGCAGGAATATAGATACAGCTCTGCTTTACAGATACTGAACTGCTCTTTATATATTGATATGTAAGAACCTTGAGCTTGAATTTCACAGTGAAATAAGAACATAGTTGACTCTAGGGATTAGCAAAATGAAATATTTAAAATTCCTAGAATATGGTATCTGGCACATAATAGACATTTCTTAGATCTAATTACCAATTTATTTAGAAGCCAACATTTTCCTCAATTATGCAGACTTTTAAAGGTACAAAGATATTTTTACTTGGTATAAGCTAAAGTATAGTTTCCCTGCGTGTGTGTGTTGTGTGTGTGTGTGTGTGTGTGTGTTCAGAGAGAGATAAAAGAGTAAGGAATAGGAGAGAGAAAAGACTTGGAATGTTATTAACAATAAGGGGGAAAAAAGCCAATTTAAAGCTTATTGTTTTGTAATTAATTATGTTATATAATCAATTGCTCCCAACTACATAATTCATTTTTTCCAAGCTGCATTCTGTGAATTACTTGATCAATATTGAGTTTTTCTGCTTTCTAGATGTTTTACAAGGAGAAGGAAACAAATCACTTAATTCATAGTTTAATTCACTAGATTAAGTAGGGCTTGCCAAGAAACTTCCCAAATAAAGGCAAGCATGGATGAAGAAACACTTTTAGGAAAAAAAAAAAATTAGAGAAATCCACAAATTCTAATCTACCTGTACTGTTATACTCACCGGAATAGCTGATCCCACTGCCTGCAGTAAATGGAACAACAGAAGTATTTTTAACTTTACCACACATTTTGAATTTTACTCAAGATCAGACACATAATGAAACATGGCAATCTTGGCTAGTATATAAGTATTTTAAACTATTGAAAGAAAAAGTATCCAAATGCCAAATAAGGAAATATAAGGAGTATATTGTTTCAGATTAAAAGTTGATACAGTTATCAATATGGAGACACCTAAAAGGGACTTATACAAAAGAAATTAAAGTTTTTTAAACTTCAGGAAAAGAACCAACCTTAAAATATTAGCAAAACTGCTCTTTTGATATAATGACAAGGGATTTTTTATAGGTTCAATTTTCTTTGATGACTAAAAAGCTACTCAAAAGGACTAATTCAGAGAGCACATTATAACAATTTGTACATTTATAGTAAATCATGTGTCATGTCAGTGAAAACACATATTAAGTAAAATAAAAATGGAAATAGTTCAGAAATTTACAGCAGTTTTAAATTCTAAAATAATAATCAAATGTTTGAAATAATCAAATTGTATAAATTCTAACACTTCTGAATTACTATTTTAAACTTAGGAACCACTCTAAACTTTATCAACAACTTACTTGGTTTACAAAACATATTAAATATATTAACTGGTCTTACCATCTTTTCCATCTATGGGTTTTGACACTTCAATATCAAAACTTTCCTGCATCTGCTGACCTCTAAAACAGGTAAGATGTTCTTGCTCAATTAAATTACTTTCTTCTTCTTCTAGCGGCTGCCAAGTACCATCAATAAACCACTGTCCACGCATTACTGGTATTTTATCGGACTCTGAAAAGGAAAATCACAGAATTATACATTTTAGGATCCAACCTCTCAGGAAGTGAAATAGTAACTACAATTTTATATTTTACTACTGCTGTGGCAAAAACAGACTTTCGTGATCCAACAGAATCATTTAAAGTTTTAAATTTCAGACATCAAGCCACAGTATATAATTTTGCTTACAACATATAATTTTACTTGTATTAAATAGTACACGTAAAAGGTACTTTGGCATTAGAAAGGGAGAGGAGCGTTACCTATGTAACTGAGGCCCCAAGTAACCAAAATTAGTAGGCTAAGGGGTTGACAAACTTCATGCAAGACTCCAGTGATAGTTCCAATGTCTTAGAAAATACTGAGATAAATTTCCACAAGTAGTTTAGAAATAATGTGTATTGTCATAGCGTGGTACATTTTTTAGGGCTGCCTTGGAGGTCAAGGGCTCCCAGCGCGTATACGGGAATAAGTGAAACTTTTAATTACAGTAAATTCCTCATCTATTTCAGAAAAAAATTGAGAAAACATTTCTTTGGAAAACTGAACATTTCTTTGATTAAACAGTGTCCCATAAGCCTAAGACTTTTAGTTGCTATTTATAAACCACAACTGTTAGCTAAGTTATCTTGAATCCTTTAAAATAATTTTTTAAAAAACCTATAAAGCAAAAATAAAATTGAAACAACAAAACCCTAAAACTAAAAAGCAAAATAAAAAAAAAAAATGAACCTTACTATACAGAGTTGGTGGTTTAACCACATATAGAGAAGTTATTTCATGAGGATTCAAAACACAGTAATTTGTATATACGTATTAGGATATACCCTATGTACAAAAAGAACTGCAAACATATCTTAAACCTTTTGCAGTAGCTACGCTGTTATAACTGTAATAATATTGGTATTGTTAATTTGAAACTGTAGATTAAGATGACTATATTAATTTTATTCATTAGAATAAATTAATATAAGAAACCAAGATTTTTAGCACAGGTAAAAAGAGATACAAATATAAAAATCAAAGAAATAAATCTGTATTTTAAATTTCAATTAGAAATGTCCGCATGAAATAAAGATGTATATTTTCTATTAAAAAAAAATTATCCTAAGCTCTGTGTGCCAAAAAGGCCTAGAAATAAAGACCAACCCCGTATAAGTGAGCACTCCTGATATAAAGATCGTGATCTCTAAATATCATTTCCTTAAAGAAACGGCCAATTCCTGGTTTGAAACAGAAAATTTACTAGATGATCCTGAAACATCTTGTACCAGACTTCTACTGTGATGTATTCAAAATCTCCTATTATGTGTTTCTAATTCTTCTTGCGCTATCCTTTATTCTGCTATAGCAATACTGCTATAGTCAGATGTTTGCTGTATTATTTGGCAGACAGATACTCAAAAATATAAATTCGTTGAGAATTTTGGGTTTTAACATTATAAAGTACACTCTGTGTGTTTGATGATGTTTTGCGTGTGTGCTAGATTCTACTTTGTCTATCAAGATTACAAACCCCCTGAGTTTCCCTGGTGGCGCAGTGGTTGAGAGTCCGCCTGCCGATACAGGGGACATGGGTTCGTGCCCCGGTCCGGGAAGATCCCACATGCCGCAGAGCGGCTGCGCCCGTGAGCCATGGCCGCTGAGCCTGCACATCCGGAGCCTGTGCTCCGCAACGGGAGAGGCCACAACAGTGAGAGGCCCGCATACGGCAAAAAAAAGATTACAACCCCTGCTTTCTTATTGCTTCCATTTGCCTGTGATGTTTTTGTACATCCCTTTATTTTTAACCCTTTTCTGTTTTAGATGTGTCTCTTGTATACAGCACAGAATTGGGTTTTGCTTTATGAAGCCATTTAAAATCTTTTAATAGGTGAGTTAAGCTCATTTATGCTTATTGATATAACTGATATGTTTGAACTCTCTTTTTCTATAATTACTATTTTTTATTATTCTTACTCTCTCTAGTTGATGATTTTACTTACTCTCTCTAGTTGATGATTTTGCTTTTCAAAAAAATTCTTTTGGTATTTAGGAATATTTGCATTTTGGGCTCTAGGGGTTACCTTCACACACGCATGTGTGAGTATGAATGTATTTTACAGTGTCCTAAGTCTCTTTTTTGTTTATTTAAACTTTTATTACCTGGTCTGTCCATTTTAAGTGGTATCCAAAATTCCCACTTATTACTTATATAATAGAGAATGATCTTATTCTATTTTTCCCTTTCTCTCTCTACCCATTTACATATAACAATTACACCCATGTTCCCACCACTGTTTTAGTCTTGGATCTACAATATATTAAATTCTCACTAAAGATTTCCTAAATTCTTTCATGTTCAAAGCTGCTTATCTATAGCCTTGATACTTGAAGGACAGGTTGGCTACCTTGAACTTTGTTTCCTTAAGTTTTAAAAAAATGTTCTACTGTAGCCTTCCTTTGTATATCATTCTAGAGAAGTCTGATGTAAGCCTAATTTTTTTTATTAGTAATGTGAATTTTTTTTCCCCCACCAGGAGGTCCAGAAAAAAATTTGCCTTTAAAATTATTAACAGTTTTACTAGTCTTTAAATTCTAACAGGTTATGACTCAGAGTTCATTGCTCTGAATCAATTTGCCAAGGTGGGTCCTTTTAACTTGTAGATTTCAGTTTTCCTCTTATTTCTGAAAAGTTTCCTTGGATTAGTTCTGTTCCACTGATTTCTTCTTCAGAGACTCCAATTATAAGTATGTTGGGTCTTCCTTTGCCTGTATTGCATTTCAACCACTTTCTCTCTGAAGCTTGTTACTTCTTTCTGCATCTCATTTTCATTCTTTTGGTTGTTTTCCTTCCTTTCATCAGTGCCCCTTACATCAACATTCCTTTCATCAGTGCCCCTATTAGTATGTCCCTAAGTTTGTTTGAGAATATTTGGTTGGAGTGTTACAATACAGTTTCTCTTTGTTTTGTGTTTGCTTTTGGGGGAAGAACTATAATCAGTGGAAATGTACTGATCTCACATTTTCTGTATTCCTCTTAGAGTAGCTTTGTATGGCATTTGATTTATTTCTGTTCATGAGCATTTTATGGATGGACTCCTTAGTTCCAGAGTGTCTGCTGCTGCAGATTATTAAGAGCAGCTCCTTTAATGGATGGATGTTATGGTGGTGGCAGTGGTGGTAGTGGTGAGTGAAGACTGGATTGGTGTGCCTTGTTCTTCTTTCATTTCTCCAGGACCCTTCATTTTCTCCTTACTTCTTCTTTCCTCTTATTGCCATGGCTCCAAGGGGCAGTATCTTTTCTCTTTCTCCTCTCCCACCAGCAACATTTCTCTGATGTTACTACTTCTGGTCCCTCTCACTTTCACACACCCTCCCTACAGTTAGTGCTATGAATTACCAAGTCCCAAGCCTGTGTTCGTATTTTGCCAGTTGTGTGGAGGACATTTTCTTTCTGAGGGTGCTTTTGTGCTTCATTTTAACCTCTAATCTCCTCTCTGTTTTCACTGTCTCTTAAGCCTCTCCCTGCCCCAGTCTCCAGGTTCAGAGGTTTATAGCAGTAACAAGAACTACTGTAATTTGCTGTTTCTTTACTTACAAGTAATTTAAAATTTGTGGTATTGTCTCTCTCGTAGTAATGCTAAAGGTGTCAGCTATGCATGGTTTATGTGTATGTGGTTTTTGGCGAGAACGTGTGGAGAGATTTAGATTTGGACAGCTGCCATTATCCTCCACATCCAAAAACTCATCTCATTTAATCTTAACAGTAATCTTAAAGATAGCTATGACTTCCCCAGTTTTACAAATGAGTAAAATGACTCTTAGTGAAACTAAATAATTTGCCTAGAGGCAAACAAGTATTATGAGAACCAAGATTCCAACCAAAGTTGACTCCAAAGTTCACTCAAACTCTTTCTACCACACAATGCAACCTACATTCTCAAACAGGAAAAGATCCCTCTCTCTCCCCAAGAAATACAGGCTAGTTAGTTGTGTTTGTAATTTTTAAATAAATAATTTGGGAAATTTTACATTGCCAGGCTATTATGAGACTTACAAACCAGAGGCAAGCATGCCTCCCCATAAAAACCATGGAAGTAAAAAGCAAAGTTAAAAAGAGTTAAACAAGTTTTAGCACACATCTACACTCTCAAATCCTTTCTTCTCTTGAGCCTAATATTGGGTTGGCCAAAAAGTTCATTCAGTTTTTTTCATAAGATGGTTCTAGTAGCACTTAGTCTTTAACTTCATTCAAAACAATTTTGTTAGATTGTATGTGACAGCTGTCATATCAGCGTGCATTTAAAAAAACTTATCAAAACTGGTGAATTTTTGTGTAGCTATTTTAATATTGAAGACTGAAGAAAGCAACATTTTCAGCATATTATGCTTTATTATTGCAAGAAAGGTAAAAACGCAACTGAAATGCAAAAAAAGATTTGTGCAACCTATGGAGAAGGTGCTGTGACTGATCGAATGTGTCAAAAGTGGTTTGAGAAGTTCCGTGCTGGAGATTTCTCTATGGACGATGCTTCACGTTCAGGTAGCTCAGTTTAAGTTGATAGCGATCAAATCGAGACATTAATTGAGAACAATCAACGTTATACCACGCGGGAGATAGCTGACATACTCAAAATATCCAAATCAAGCGCTGAAAATCATTTGTACCAGCTTGGTTATGTTAATCACTTTGATGTGTGGGTTCCATGTAAGTTAAGCAAAAAAAAAAAACCTTCTTGACTGTATTTCTGCATGCAACTCTCTACGTAAACGTAATGAAAACGTTCCATTTTATAAATAAATTGTGACAGGCGATGAAAAGGGGATACTATACAATAACGTGGAATGGAAGAGACCATGGGGCAAGCTAAATGAACCACCATCCACCACACCAAAGGCCAGTCTGCATCCAAAGAAGGTGATGTTGTGTATATGGTAGGATTGCAAGGCAGTCCTCTATTATGAGCTCCTTCCAGAAAACCAAACGATTAATTCCAACAAGTACTGTCCCAATTAGACCAAATGAAAGC